TGTTTATTACCCATGCCGATTTAAGAGAAACGACTACGTAAAATGACGTCCTAAATTCATCGCATTTTTGAGTGTCCGTTTTACTTTATCATTAGAACGATCCCTATTTTTAACCGACTTCATTATAATAACAATAGGTCTTCGTACTTGTGTAAAATTTCCAAGGCCCTTTACAATAGATTAAATTGTGTTTAAAATTGTCTTTTAATGAAGCTTTCGTAATAAGCAAAAATTATACTTTTGAAAGGTAAAATATATATATATCTAACGTACCGTAAAAGCTTATTAATATGATACCTATATGAATATGAATTATATTTACAAAGAAGCGACTTATCCTCGTTTTGCTTGAGTGCGTCCCTAGGTACGTTTTAAATTTTTTTTTAGGGGAACCCTAATTTTTTTTAAAGTAACCTAAGTTACTCCACTTAACAACACCTATCTGTCAGTGAAAGTCCCGTCAAAATATATCCAGCCGTTTCAGAGATTAACTGGAACAAACAAACAGATAGCCAGACAGACGAAAGTGTTAAAAATTATGTTTCCCTTATAACTACCGTATATAATTTCATATACATTTAGCAAAAAGCTGTTATTTTGATATTAAAACACACACACACACTTCAATTTTATTTTTCTGTATAGATAATAATTATTAAAAAAAAATTAAAAATCCCCCTAGGCAAATTAATTGTCATTTAACGATTACACTGGCATGCGTAAAGCAGTTAATCGAGTAATCGTACGCCAAAATGCCTTACATCATTTTGGAAAAGAGCTGATACTCTTACACTGCTGGACCGATATTAACCAAATATAGCTAAGAATCACCGCAAGAAAACTGGCTTTCAAATGAAAAAAAACCGCATCGATATCGGTTTATCCGTTTGAGCCGCCATCAAAAAATGCTTTGAACGTCCAAAAAAACTACGGCGGCCGTTTAGAATTGGGGACTTGGCCCCTAGCGGAGTGGGTGGTATTTCTGGATAAGGGACGTGATAGAGAGTCGAAATGTTAAATAAATTTTTTAATACAACAAAAGAGTCAAAAGTTATTGAGACTTAAAGTTATAACATTTCCATACATTATTTTGACATTACTACCATTTAGACACTTGGAGTCAAAACGTCACTTTCAATTGTCAAAATGATCTCCAGATGATTGTCTTTATTTGTACTTTGCGTGAAATTCGAATTTTCTAGTTTTCTAGTCATTTATGGCACTCGCCGGCCGCTACCGCGGCACGCTCGCTTCGCTCGCTCGGCTCGTGCGTTGTGGCAACTGTTCTAACCTAACCTAACCAAGATATGACGAATAATTAATAAATAATCTTAAATGTTCTAACCTAACCTAACCCAGATATGAGGAATAATAAATAAATAATCTTAAATGTTCTAACCTAACCTAACCCAGATATGAGGAATAATAAATAAATAATCTTAAATGTTCTAACCTAACCTAACCAAGATATGACGAATAATTAATAAATAATCTTAAATGTTCTAACCTAACCTAACCCAGATATGAGGAATAATAAATAAATAATCTTAAATGTTCTAACCTAACCTAACCCAGATATGACGAATAATAAATAAATAATTAAAAATATTCACAGATAAAAAATGATTTTTTTTACTAAATGTACAATTGTAAAACAATATATTTTACATAAATCAGATAAAAAATCATAAATGTATTTATGAAATGAAAATAATATTTTTCTTTTTATTTATTTATTTATTAATATTAATATTTTACCAACAGAAAAAGCAAAAATAATCAAATATAATCTGTTGTCATTTAAGCGGTAATATAAAACAAAGTGTCAGTTTTGCTTTTGTCAAAATGTAAGATCATTTTGTTTGTGTTGTGAAATTATTAAAATATTAAATACAATAAAGCATTAATTGTTGTGAAAATGTGTAATGTACATAAAAAAGGATGCGTACTATTCGTTAAAGGTATGTTTATCTGTTGTAATCACTTATTTAGGTAAAGAAATGTATGGAAATGTGTTAGATATGTAAGTCTCAATAACTTTTTACTCGTACGTTTCCTCCAAATATTTTTAATATATTTTGACTCTCTGTCACCTCCCCTATCTAAAAATACCACCCACTCCGAATGGTGGTAAAGAAATATATGAAAATGTATGGAAATGTTGTAACTTTAAGTCTCAATAACTTTTGAATCTTTTGTTGTATTAAAAAATTTATTTAACATTTCGACTCCCTATCACGTCCCTTATCCAGAAATACCACCCACTCCGCTAGGGGCCAAGTCCCCAATTCTGAATTTGTGCCAAAACTACAACCAACCCAATTATCTTGTGTATGGATGAAAACGTAATAACAAAATGACTAACAAACAACTCAGAACCTTAACCCGTTGAACCTAAAGATGTGAAGTGATAGGATAATAATTTATTCCTTGAACAGGAAAGCACCTTAGTCGCGTAATAAAAGTGTTTAGATAATTAAAAAGCACCCACGTGAATCCGGGCGGTTCGTGTAATGTTATAACCCATTATAATGTTCACAAAGGTTTTCTTAAAATACGACACTGCGATTTATTTAACAATAAACGACAATGTAAAGATAGAAACAAAAGCAATAAAAGCTTTTAGAAGAATCAAACTTTTTAATTAAAGCACAAACTTCAGAACAAAAAAAAAATTTTTTTACTCGTAAAAATATTCCTTTTTTTAGGCACGAACTGCTTAAAGACAAAAGATTAATGATAAATAATTATCATATTGCAAAAAAACAAGAACAATGTCTATACAGAGCTTTTGTTTTCACAGTCAGTTATTTCACCCTGAAATGCATTTAGGCATTCCACGTGTCCCTAGGTCTCGCCGACTAGGCGAGCCGGAATCAGGAATACGTACTGAATAAACCCCAGCGTTACATTCATCATCATAACGGAGCACCTTGGAATAATAAATAACTTGAACTATCCTATATTATATGACCCAACCATGGCTAGCTCATCTAACCAAGCAGAGTGCTAAATTGGTTGCATAGAGGGTTTTTTACTCACTAAGTTGATTCACTGTAATGAAAGAGCTGTTGCTTATTGATAGGTACGTGTAATATGTTTTTCAGAAAAATACCAGGTGCAATCCAAGCACAAGTCTAAGGCAGCTTAAAAAATGAAACCATACGGTAGCTTAAACTGTCCAATTTGTTAATTTTTGTTAAGGCGCCCCATGAATATATTAAAAAATTACAAAATTTGCTAAAACTATGATTTTTTACGAAATTTTTATATCTAAAACCAGTAGGTACGTTCTACAAGTGAGTAGCATTTAGCTGGTGTCGTGACTAGGATAATTATGTTCTTTTAAAAGTTATGTTGTGGGTATTTTTATAATATGTATATACTAACTGCAAAATATTTACTTTAAAATTATTTTAATTTGTTTTAAAAATACAATGGCCAATCTAACAATAGGTACTTATGTCCTTTTACATTATAAAAGTAGCAGTGCACCACTTCTCTGCATACGCTATACCGGCATTAAACATAATATCCCAAATATAGAGCACAATGGTCGAGAGTAATGATATTCAAAAGCTGAAAGTTCTATATTATAATATATGATGTTCTCCTGGCCGATTCCGGCCACGGCGGCCAATCTCATTGAGACTAGCCAACTGCGCAGGAGATATTATAGTGCACAAGTGTACGCGCAGACACAAATACACTCTCTATTCCTGTCACTCTCATACTCTGGTGGGACAACCACTCGACACGACCAGTGACAGTTAAGGCGCACGACCGACGGCTTTACGTGCTCTCCAAAGCACGGGGATGAAACACCGCCAACTTTCCAAGTCCAGGCTTTTACTGAGGCTTACTATACAGAAAGACTCAATAACCAAACTTGGCCCGACCCGGGACTCGAACCCAGGACCTCCGGGTGTGCAGCCGTACATGATAGCCACTAAACCACCGTGCCAGTTAAATGACAAGAGTACACATAGCGTCCATCCATTTTTGAAACAAATTCTTTCACACTAAACGTATCGTAATCGTGTTCAAATATAAAAAAAACCTACATAATAAGCAAACTAGGTCGATGTAAATATAATAAAACATTAAAAGTGCATTTATTAAGTTATTGATAATATTTTTAATAACCAAAACTCCTTTTTTGCTAAATGTATTATCCATAGACATAGAGAGGTGATATATATGCGCTATAATCGCCAAGTTAAATGTCATTGGTCTCTGTCATATAACTGTCACAGATTTATTACAAGGGAAACTCGCATCCATGCCAAGCAAAACAAATCCGGTTGTCTATGACAACTACAAGCTTCACATAGACGCGTCATCTGCGTCGAATTTTATTAGTTTTATAATTTTATGTGATTAAGAAAATTGTGATAAGTGTGATTTTATACAAATCTTCGTGATAATATTAGTGTTAAGATTTGTTATGTTATCGTTGTTCTTCGGGATAAAATACGAGGTAAGGACGCACAGGAGACAATGTCGTCAAGATTTGTTTAGAATTTGCGGGATCGATAACCCGGTCGGCTAGCCATGAGGCGCGACGCTGAGGTTATGTTGCGAGTCGCGAACCAGTATCCGAGTTCAAGTAACGGTCCCGCGGACCAGAGCGAGCCGACTCGTGTTACAGCTGCAAAATCCGGTCGGACGTAGGACAAGTTAGTTTATAATAGCGTCTAGATCCTCATTAGCCGCCCTCATTCCGTTGCGCTTGCCACAAGTTATCACTGTAAATAAATATTTCAGTATTTAGCTTCGCTTTAAAACGAGGAGTATATCCCACGCCCTAACACCTTTAGCGCTCGAAACCTTTGGACGTTCCTTATGAGATGTGCGCCTGTTTTCCAGCTTACCCTGCCTGCAGTGCGTGCCAAGAGCCCCAGAGTCCCAGCCATTAGATTGAGTGGAGTGTCCCCTGCCCACACGTAGCCCTGTACGAAGTCAAAATTCCAAGAGACACAACGGATACCTCCTCCAGCATGGATCTGGAGAAAGCCCCCACTCTCCATGAAGAAGACTCTAAAGTTACCCTCACTATCAGATTGATTATGCAGGGAAAGGTAAGAATGATGGCACTACTTTTATAAGTACTTAAATTTTATATTAACTTCAATCTAAGTAGTTTCATTGTGAGAGTGAGCACTCTACCTTTGAAAATTTTGTTAATTTTAAATATGTAGATTACTGTAGAAATTTTATTTATTTAAAATTTACATTTTGTTTAAATTCAATTCAAAATTAATCTACTTACAAAGGCTATTGTTAATAAATTGTTATTTCACAAGTCATAAAATACAATTATGTTAATCTAATATGACATTGATATTTCAATCTTGTTAAGAAACTAGCATTTGTATGGATGCTTAGTGCAATACCCTGTTTATATATTACCTTGCTTGCTTAAACTAGACTTCCAATAGCTTTGTTAGTTCACTAGATTCTTAACCTTATTTAAAATTAATTGATCCATTTACTAATAATCCAATATTCATTATTATCACACTTCTCACATAAATGTTCAATTCACATAAAATTAGAAAGTGTTTATTTGTAACTCAGTCATGCAGAAAGGATAGTACCAATAACAAATTAGTTTGATAATGATTTTGTATGTACAATAATTGTTATTTCTCTGTTAGCTATTTGAGGAAATGATAATTGACATTAATAAGTAAAAGATATCAATATTTTTTTATTAAAATCTATGTGACCTGGGAGAAGTAATCTGTACTTAACTGGCACGCTTTGAAGCCGTTAACAAGAAAATTAAATTAAATTTATTAAAAGTACATAAGTATGGATAAAATATTCTAAACATTAAACTTTTGTTGTTATACATTTGACACTAGAATAAACAATTAAATCGGTCTGTCTCAGCCATGAAATATATTGATGTGAATATCTATGTGATTTCTAATACCCACTTTTAATTGGCTGTAATCCAATATAAAATATACTTGGCATGTTGCCAGCCATTAGCACTCTCCCTGTTCATCAAACATGTTGATTTGTTTCTTTTTCTAATTAAAATATGTTAATTATATTTTTGTGCAACCTTATTCTAATTATGTCTTTAGTTTATATCTAAACACTTTAATTCACCTCTCTATTTTTATTCATGCAACTATTTTAACTATTTTGTTTACATTCTTATAGAATTAAGGAAAATTTTGTAAATGTAATTGCTTACTTTTATACTTTAACAAATGGCAACATATATTTTACTATTTGTTGTTTAATTTTGTGAAAGAACAGAGTGTCTATGTATATTGCTTGTGGGCATTTTTATTCGCAAATAAATTACCACATTTGTATATATTTGCAAATTCAACATGTTTGCATGTTAATGTACTTAATCTCATTAAGCTGCAATATATAGCTTGAATTGGAGTTCTTTGAACTATACATACTTTGATCGTCAATCTTGCATCTATTTGCGTCGTTTGAAGATGTATTACCCGAGAGCCTAGACTGACGCATGCATTGTTCACATACTGCAGAAGTCAACCGCTGATGCCAGGAACAAACCGTTACGAAGCCGACTCTAAAACTGTCATTGTGCATCCCTAACTATTATTGCAGTAAAGAATCGCTATGCTCCATCTATTATTAGATAGCAGACAGGAAATCTTTTGTACGATATAAATCTTCATGCAGCCGCATTAATTATGCGTGCGCGTTGCACAATACTTGCCAATGCTTATCGCTTCAGTACTCGGAAGTTTTTTCAGAGTTTCAAAGCGAAATATCGACCATTCATAGCCGTGAAATTGGGAAATTTAATGTTTTCTCTTTATTTGTAGGAAGTTGGCAGTATTATTGGAAAAAAAGGAGAAATTGTTAAACGATTCAGAGAAGAGGTTAGTAATTAGTAAAGTAATTTTTTGTATATCTTCATTTTAATTTTCACAATTTATTGTTTTTCTTATTTGTAAAGAAATTAATTTTATTGACCTTATACAAAATATTTTTTCAGTCTGGAGCAAAAATCAACATATCAGATGGGTCATGTCCAGAGCGAATTGTTACAGTTACTGGGAACACAAGTGCTATATTCAAAGCATTCACACTCATTTGCAAGAAATTTGAAGAGGTTTGTATTTACTTATAATTATTGTTATCTTACCTATTATTTATCTCGAAGGTTCATTATTAAAATCCAATAAATAACAAAATTAATGATAAAGGTCTATATGATAGGAATCATATTAATTATAATCTATGCTCTAAATATCAATTAAGGTACTTAATAATAATCCAATAGCACAGTTTTAAGTTCATCCAAACTCTATTTCATACCCTATTTAGTTTTCCATATTTTCCATAGTCTTAAAAGGCCTCTATGTGTTGGACGTGTGTCCCCACGCAAGCCTTTCAAAGGACCGGGCTTCTTCGGGCCCGTGAATTCCAAAGAGATACAAATAATAATAAATAATATATCGATGTTTTCCAGTGGTGCTCGCAATTCAATGAAGGCGGCGGCGGCGGGTCCCGGGCGCCGATCACACTGCGCCTCATCGTGCCGGCGTCGCAGTGCGGCTCCCTCATCGGCAAGGGCGGTTCTAAGATTAAGGAAATCCGTGACGTCACAGGGGCCAATATACAGGTATACGCTCGCACTAAGGAATAATATAGACAGAGTCATAGATAGATAAGTAAATAAATCTTAATTAATAGAAATAATTAATGGATTTTACTAGCTTACCTACACACGATGTTCTGTTGAATTTCACGTTGTATTACACGATGTTCTGTTGAAAAAATATATTGTTAACTGTTGAATAATGGAAATAAAACTCAAATCTTCTTCCCATTCAATTATAAGTAACTTTTAATAGGTATAATCTGAAGTATTTATATTTGCTTATAGGTAGCAAGTGAAATGCTGCCGAACTCGACTGAAAGAGCGGTAACAATCAGCGGCACATGCGACGCTATCACACAGTGCATTTATCACATTTGCTGTGTTATGTTGGAGGTAACTATAAATAAATTATAAAAACACACTAGCATTGTCGCCTTTATATAATAGACATTTTGGCTAAACAAAATATAAGACATGTGTCTGCCACTCTTTATTATGCCACATATCATGGGTTCGAACCGCCAGATGTCCATCTTGAACATCTGGCATGTGAAACTTTCCATATAATTAATATACAATGTGATGAATTAGTTATATTACTATTTTGAATTGTTGTGACAACGCTATTACGTTGTAATGTAATTTAAATGACCATTTAATGTTTATATGAAAAATTATATTTAATTATATAATATTATCTTTATCCAACTTCGAAAAAAAGAGGTAGTTAGATAATTTATATGTATTTTTTTTAATTGTATGTTCAGTGTTCACATTGAAAAGTTAACAGTTGTGTGTTTTTTAACAAATTTTGTTTATTTTGTTTCCAGAGCCCGCCAAAAGGCGCAACGATTCCGTACAGACCAAAGCCAAATGTCGCCGGCCCCGTCATACTAGCGGGCGGGCAGGCCTACACCATACAAGGGAACTATGCTGTACCTGCACAAGATGTAAGTATACACTATAATATGTTGCATTATTCACGATTACAAATAATATTTTTTTGTTATTTGTGCAACATGGTCAGTTGCAAAAATTGTTGTTTCACTGCTTGTTTGTCTAAACGACCAATTCACCGAAAGAGTTTTTAATACACGATTATTGACTCTGAAATGTCAATTCTGTTGGTAGAAAATATAATTTTACTTAAAAAACCGAAAAGTTATCTGTATATAAATCTTAGTAATAAAGATTTGTTTCCGAAATAGAGGAAAAAAGTGTTGACTGAAAAGTACAACAAGTATTGGTCGTTTGAACAAATAAGCACTAAGGTGATGAAATATTAAATAATATTAAAGTTGATTTATTTTTTATTAAACTACACTTACTTTTACACCATATTTCAAAGTTAAAAATTACTGAGTATATGGTAATTTGATATATTTATCAAAGAACCCTTAAAATAAAATGTAAAATATATTACAATGTAAAAACATGTAAGTAGTAATTTTATAGGACTACTTTCTCTACAAACGAGTTTTAGCACATAACATTATTAAAGACTTGCACTGAGAGATATTTTATGGGATATTCATTGAAACATAAATGTATTTTCAGAATTTTTCTATGTTTATTTATTTTTAATAATCTGAGCAATGTCAAGATAAGGCTGGCAATAAACGTTGTCAATTTAATAAAATTTCAACATGTCTTTGGATAATTAATGTAAAATACTGACTTTAACTATAGAACTTACGATTACTCTTCTTGTTTACGCATAAAAAGAAAAAACTCTCACTTTACTTAACATATAAGTATTTTTTTCTTTCCTTGTTTAAAGAGCTTGTTTATAATTAGAAGTTAACTATGTCGCTCTGTAACTTAAAACAATTATATTCTTAGATCTATACATATCTTTGCTATTTATATAGTAATTGAACATTATCACTAGTGGGGAATGATAGAAATTCCATACAGTCAGTAATATTTAAATTAATGTTTAAACTATTTTGAAGATATTGTATGGAATGTTAAGTAATAACTAGCGACTTACCCTCGCTTCGCTCGGATTCGTCCCTAGGTACGTTTTAATTTTTTTGAGCGGAACCCTGATTCTTTTTCTAAAATAAAGTAGCCTATGTTACTCCCTATAACATGAGCTATCTTCCAGTAAAAGTCCCGTCAAAATCAGTCCAGCCGTTTAAAGATTGTCTGGAACAAACGTCAGACAGACGAATATTTAAAAAAAAGTACTGTATATAATTTCATATGCATTTAGTACTTAATTAACGCTGTTATTTTGACATTACAAACAGACACTTCAAATTTTTTTTTTTGAACATATTGTATGGAATATTAAGTTAATAAAGTAAAATAAACAATTGGGGGGTTTTAAACGATATATGTATAAGAAGCCGGGTAGTGACGGTATACATGGCAGGCGGTGTGCGCGCCCGTGTTCCCCGTGCTCGAGGTGAAGCCGCCCCTGGTGGGCGCGCTGCCGCCCGCGCACCTGCTGCCGCCGCTCGAGCACCACCTCGTGAGTGACAACCCTGCCCCACCTGACCTCATACCCTATATGGCCAATCATTTGCTCTAGAACTACGTAGGGTTGTAATGTCAGGTTTAATAATTGTACGGGTTGTAATGTTAGGTTTATAATTCTACGATAATTTAATTGTAGTTTCCACACGGACTTACATACTAACGTTTTGTTTAATTATTTTTTTAAATAAAAAAAGTGCTTGTAAAAGTCTATTTGAAAAAAGTATGATTTGATTTACATTTACATTTTTTTTTTAATATTATCAATTTACCAAAACTATGTTAAAATGTTGTTGCATTCACGTGTCGATATGAGCATGTAACATTAAAAACGGGGTCAATCAGTTGGTAATGTATAGTGTAGTAGCAGTTGACTATTAGAAAGCACTTATCGAGTTAATTTTTTTATAACAGTGTATGGGGGATAATAAAGATATTAATAATAATATTAATAATTTAGTTTTCGAAAGACGTGTTACGTCCGCCAACCCGGATTTGGCCAGCATGGTGGACTATGGCCTGATCCCCCTCGTATTCGCCCGTGCCCAGCAGTGGGACGTTAAAAAGGGCTGAATACAACAAATTAATAATTTGATTACCACCGATTTATCACATAATAATAGTTAATATGAATAGATTAATTAGTAATAAAAATAATTCTTTTCAAACAAATAGACACTTATAAGAGTTGTCAATGAAACGAAACGAATATTTAAAGTTGATATTTCTCTATTAAGTAATTTTTCCTTTGGTTTTTAGTCTTGGTTAATTCTTCTAATGTCCAAAATACATGTATACTGTTAGTGTTACTATTCTATTTCTATTCAAGTAAAATTGATACCATTTCATATTCAATATGTACAATTATAACTTCCTTCATACATCGTATATTATATGTCTTAAAATTTAAATGACGGTTATATGGTAAAAAACACCGTTACTTTATGAGGTTGAGTGGGTTAAGGAGATATTATATGTGATTGGTGCTGCCCCATACCCCCCATAAATGGTTTGGATGTGTTTCCATCGTAGTAGTAACAAGCAAGTACTTATATGTAGATCTCCCGACGGTATTAAATGATCAATGAATTTAATTTGCGCTGATACCCTTAGCTTGCAGAGACATTGTCTGAACAGACCTCGCTTCGATAGTGCACGTGACCCCCTCCTGTAATTAGTGCGTAATATAAAAGACATAACAGTAGATAGATATCCATTTTGTCCAGCACGGATATATACATACATATATACCTTCATACATTTTATCGACAATATAATAATTGTAGTTACAACGTAATATTTAGATCAAGCTTTATCTGTTTGTTTTCTGGCATCGCCGAGACGAGCTTAACGTACCAACATTCACTCGCATTAAGATGGCGCAAAAGTTTTTTTTAAACATTCCTATACACCTTGCACCTATCCTTATTTTAGCCTTTACCACGCCTTGTCTTTTTTTATACGAATTAATTATTATTATTCGTTTAACTGTGAAGTGCATGATATACATGTCACAAATTTATCAAGTTTTAGAATTGAACTCAATTTGACTTCCTCGTTTTTTTTTTGAAATGCATTTTTCACGGGCAGCACCACTCGTAACTCACAATGTGGTGGATTCGGGCAACGAAAATACGCATTTCTACACCCTCATTCTGTGGGTTATACCTTCAATGAGTTTGTTTCAGAATATATAAATAATTAAGAAATATAATTTCTGAAGTAAACTCGTTGAAGATGCGCTAATTTTATTTGGAACTTTATATATCATTCTGAAATCTTGTTTCTACCCAGGCAACCCTTTCCAGCGATCCCATCCTCACCATGACAACGAAGATGAAAGATGAAAACAAGCAGCTGGAGCTTGAAAACGTTTATTAATGTGTTACGAGTAATAAAAATACGAAATACATAAAAAAATGTTGGTATTTCAGATGGGTGGTTTGGCGAAATCGCCGTTAGCGGGTCTAGCTGCCCTTGGCCTCGGCGGCCTGGGGCCTGCGAATACTGGCGGTCTCAATCCTGCTGGTAAATAGTAGAAATACATTTTTTCTTTATATTGTAACTAGCTACTTGTCCTCGCATCACTAGGGTACGTCTCTAGAAGATTACTAGTAGCCTATGTTACTTCCGGTCATAGTCTATCTTTTCAAAGCGAAAACAAAAAAAAGATCATAGAATATCTGTGTACGAAACATCCAAATCCGTCAGCCGTTTTAACGTGAAGGAGTAACATACACACACACACACACACACACACACACACATAAATAGGTACTTTCGCATTTTTGACAGTATTTCCGTCAGTAGTAGTATTTTTATTTTATTTTTTTTTTTATTTCCATAACCTCTTGTTAACAACATGAATGAAAAAGCGAATTTGATCGGATATTAATATAAATTGTAATTAAATAACAATTGGAGAGTTTTGAAATAACAATAGAAATTAAATTAACATTAATTAAGTAACTATAAAATTGTTTCCTCTTCTCATAATGTGACAATTTCATAAATTGATACCAAACGTATTATATACCAATATATAAATTAAGCAAAAACGCGCTTTACAAAGCTAGACAGCTAGCTAACTAAAGTAACTGTCAACGCTTACAAGCAGCGCTGGCAGCGCTGGCGGGGTCGCAGCTGCGCACGTCGAGCGCGGCGCGCAACCAGCCCGCCACCAACCAGCAGTCGCACGAGATGACCGTGCCCAATGAACTCATTGGATGCATTATTGGCAAGGTTAGTTGGTAAAATATATAGTACGAACTACGGGACCACCTCAGACTAAAGAATTTTAACCTGTCAGCGACTCCTGAGCCACAGTTGACTCGGTTGACAATTGATTTCTTAGAAATTAACCGCTAGGTGATATGGTCAGATTCGCCCAAAATAAACGTCAAAGCCAAAAATAGTAGCGTGATTTGCTGTTTATGCTACTATGTTCGATTTTGCCACACAGATCATTTATTTTCTTTAAAAAATAATTAACAATTTATATATGTATAATTATTTTAAATTGTAATACAATTATTTTTGGGTATAAAATATGAATAATAAAAGTAATACTATACTTTTGAATTTTTAATTATTAAATAAAATATCCCCATTATCTGTAGGGCGGCACCAAAATAGCGGAGATCCGTCAAATCTCAGGCGCAATGATCCGGATATCAAATTGCGAAGAGCGCGAAGGTGGCAGTACCGACCGTACGATCACCATCTCGGGGAATCCCGACTCTGTTGCTCTCGCCCAATATCTCATCAATATGAGGTAAGTTCTATACTTATAAACTTATTAAATTTCGTTTTAAATAAATACCTTACTCTTCCTTGTATGTTATCCCTAAAATCTGGTAACCCATTCATCCAAAGTGATGCCTTGCCCACCTTTAAGAAACAATTTATTTGACATCCCCTGAACATCCTTTGATTTGTCTTTACCTTTTATTGGGGCATTTCGATGACCATTTCGATGTTTAAAGTCTTAAAGATGTTTTTTAATGTTTGCTGTCTGATCGGATATACAGTGTAAACGGTGGAACTCTTACCACCAAAAATATAGCATTTTTTTATTATTTTGTCACTCACAATGTGTAAACTAATTAAAGGGCTTTAATTATTATAAAAAAAATTGTTACTTTTATTATTTGAATTAAAATGCGAAATTAAAAAATACATTAACCTGTACAAAAAAAGTTTCAATTATCATATTATAAATTATTTCATAACCTTCCTTCTATTCGAATCGTTTTAATTATTAACATTTCTTTCCGATGCTATTTACAAAATACTTTATTATGTTATATAAAATCAATCCCCAAAAAACACTATATATCAGACCGGACTCAGTACAGACAGTGAGGCCACATCTGTAGTGGTGCGCGGCGGCATCGATACGTCCCATTCATTCGCCTCACCCTTTACAAAATCCTGTCCCGCGCAGTGTGGAGCTACAAAAGGCGAATCTGGAAGGCGGGACCTCTTCGGGAGGATCTACGGCCAGCCCTCTCGCGTCGGCCATCCCGCTGGCGCAGTTGCTCAGCAAGAGTGGGGCCCTCGGGGCCCTCAGTTCCCTCTCTGCTCTCGGGGGCCTCTCCGACCTGCTCGCGGGCTCCAACCCCCCCGTGCAGACGACCGGCGTCCACCGCTCCCACAAGTTCGCACGCCGCTCCGACGACGAACCCCCAACCAAGACCAAGGAACGCAACAAATATAACCCCTACTAGGCCTAGTGGACCCTCTCCCGCACCCCTTCACCAATCCAAAGATACGATATCGATATGTACGCGAGTCAGATCTCTCGGGATTAATGAAATTGATTTCGATATCAATACGCCCCTTACACGAAACAGTTTTTTTATGAATACTTTCTTAGATTTACGCGAATATTTGACATTTTAAATAAAACTATCTTTTCGGATTTTTTCGCGAATTTATTTTAATTTTTGGTTCCCGACGTTTCGAATGCTTTATAGCAATCATCATTACAGCAGTCTCTCCCATGACCATGATTGCTGTAAAGCATTCGAAACGTCGGGAACTAAAAATCAAAATAAATTCGCGAAAAAATCCGAAAAGATAGTTTTATTTAAAGTTTTTTGTTAAGTTAAATTTTGTATCGATGCACCAATCCAAAGACTATCGACATCGATAGCTTATAGCGCTGGTTGGCTAATCAAGTTTTAACACTTAACTCTTATTATAAATGAAGTAAACGTTTCACTTTTTTTAATTTTAATGTTTTTCCGATGCTCACTGATCCAAAGAATATCGATATCGATACGAATAAGACTCGGGCGTGCTTTCTGTTTAATTGATCCTGATTATTTTTAAGTTTAAGAACATCGTAGCGTTATATCCGACTGTACGTGATAGGCGTTAGAAATCAATGAAATATTGTTTATTTAATAATTTTAGACATGTATATTATTTGGTTGGAATTCGTAGTGTGTCACGTTCGGGTGTGGCGGGCGTGCGTGTGATGCATTGTGAATTTCGACGTTGAAAAAATTTAAAAGACTGTTACGTCTACTTAGATATACACAGGTTGGGAAGTAATAGTTGCATACAAATTTTCTATAGAAATTCTCGTGATACATATATTGGTATAATTGTATTCGCTTGTAATGTATAGAATCTGGCAGTTCGAAGTGTCAAATGTTTTTTTTCTTAATCTCTAATAATGATTTTTTTTTTAGAATTTGTTGTAGTGTTTTGTTTTTATTATTTTCATTCTACATTTTTTTTTGTGGAGAGTCGACGTTGGATAATTGGGGCCAGTATAAGTGTCACTACACGTGGAACGTAATAAGCAATATGCGTGATTTTTTTATACAATAATTTACGTCGTTATACGTGTGTTAAAAAAACCCTGTCCGACCCGTGAAGGTATTATTAGGTATCGCGATTCGATTCTATTTATGTAAAAAAAAAACAGATTCCAAGTAAAAAAAAATTACCCCGCTTAAAAATTTAAAATATTTCATACATTGTGAAACTTACATAGCAATACTGGTGACGTCATAAGGTCATGAACGCAGTTGACCTCAAAGTTCAAACTACGCTTATCAATTTGTATTTTGTAAGTAGGTAGTCTGTTATTCGATGAGCACGCCAATGCGATGGCTGTGATGGAGATGTTGTTCCATGTGACGGCCTCTACTAGTGATACAGGCTTGACAGCGTCGCAAAAGGTTATCACGGATTATGGGCGTAAGGATTTAGCGTCGACCACACATGTTCATTCCGGCTGTTAAAGACGCCTGTTCTATGAAAAGAACATTCATTGGTGAAAATAACCCTTTTTAAAAATTCAGCGTCCTCTTCAATTTTCCTTAAAATCCATGCACAATATTCCACTCTGGGTTCATAATCACTGGGTAGTAAAGCTTGGACAGGACGGTAGTGGAAAGGATGCTGGCCATCTTCTTTTAACACTTCCCACACCTGAACGTGGTAAGCGCCCAGTTGTCGTGCCACAGAACGAGTACTTCGGGTGGGGTCCTCATTAAATAACACAAGCACCTGCTCTTCAATATCCATGTCGATACGCGGTGTCCTTGTATCAGCATGATGCGTTTCGTAGCCGTGAACACTGCTCGTGGTGTACATACGATTGTGAAGACGTTGAACCGCACGCTCTGACGGCACCGTGGCTCCAACACGTGCACTCGGATGCAATGTTTCGCGAAACTGAAATAATTTTAAGTGAAATAAATAATAAAGCAAACAAATAGTGATCGTAAGTATGTAATTCAAGGTCGGGATAGCCTCTACACGTGCCGAGCGGTACCTTTGACAACGAGCGGCCCATCGTCTGTCGGCACACATCAAAGATGCCGCCGCCACATGATTATAATACCGCCGAAATTAGTGTTGTACATTTATAAAATTTCCTAGAATTGTGGGGAAATTAGCAAAATAAATGAACTTTTTAAATTTCATTAATATGTTTACTATCATGAATATTTTATATTTCTTATTTTATTTGGTCATGTGATTGGGATACCTATACACTGGTTTCCGATCGGACAGGGTTTTTTTAACACACTGTATAATTGTAAAAAAATATCCTGCTTCAAAAAACCAAAATGTAGTACAACATTTTTTTAAATATCATAACCATTTTAGCGCGCTTGACGTGATGTTATAGTGTATGCATATATGGCAACACTGTGGTCAACGAACGAACAGGTCTAGATTGTTAGTGCCAATCGTAAACACTAAACAACAGCGCTCTATTATAATTAATAGATTTTGACGTCACATTCGGTCTGACCAATGGCGTTGCCTTTCAACTACTTTATATTTCCCACCTATTATTGCACTTTTTAATAATTATTTTCTTAATCAAAAAGAAATTACATTAGAAAATATTGATATAGGCTTAATTCCAAAGCAATAAAGATTATAAAAAATATATATTTCATCTTTATATAAATTACACGCAATTTCCAGATCCAGATATTATATATATTGGGGTTAATAATGCACGTAATAAGCACTATAATTAATCAAAAAATTCATTAAAAAAAACAATTTAAAATCACTTAAAAGCAATGATTGTATTCTAAGTATAAAGGGAAAAAATAATCATGAAAAAAAAAGAACGTACAGCCAAATTAAATGCCTTTTTTAAGTAGGTCATTGAATGAAATTAGTATTATTATTTTGTGATTATAATAAAACTACTTTGTGATTTGTAGGTAGTTTGGTAAATAAAAAAAAACAGTTATCATTGTAGAACTGGTAGATTTTATACGCTTACCGGAATACTTTAGTTTACTGAGGTACACTTGGGGCTATGTATCTATTGAGTTTGTATGCAATAATAAAGTAAATTATAATGCGTGCGAGTGACATTTTTAATCACATGGTATAAACAGTGAGTTAGAACAAATAAAATATTTTTATAATATATTCCCTGAAACTTCGTAGTTCGTTCGGGATAGAGATAGTTTTCATCTGAAAAGATAGCAATTCCGGTTTTATATAGTCGGTTAATATTAAATTACTAAAGTTTCTAAGGAATCTTTTAAAAAAATCTCTTAATAATCTTCATATTCTCTTATGTGATTATATCATGGAGATAGTATATATGAAAAAGGCAAGTGATAAAAGTATCAATATGGTACTGTCATAAATTGTAACACGAAAATGGCTGCCATTTTATTCGATTTCGTATTTATTCATTGATATCAAATGTCAATTTTCATGTGTAATATCTCTATGAATTAATTAGGAAGTTCATTATTTTACAATTATTACTTTTCAATCTGCATGTTTAACTTTGTAGGTATCCATTATATTTATTACTTATAAGTATCGGTTTATATTAAATTAATCTGTATAGGTAAAATTAATTTTATACAATATATTTTCACATTTTGTGTCTTCTGTTTTACTAAATTGACGAAAAAAAAATATCGCTTTCATTTTGACAAAAAGAGATCAATCGTTTATTTATTTTATTTTTTTTATATTTTCAAAAAAAAGCAATAGACAAACATTAATAATATCTAGGAAAGTGACAATAGTAGTAATTACGTAGAAGCTTAAAGGCTGTAGAGTATACAGAGTGCTTCGCGTTTTAATGATTGTATAGAAGGCTATTGTAATTAAAATACAGGGTGTCTAGCGAACACATCAAACTATACTTCGAAATAATCTCAATTTACTAAACAATAACATTTTTAAGCGCACTAGAAGTTATTTATATATTAAAATTAGGCCATACAAACAAAATGCAGCATAAAAACGTAGTTAAAAATGATTTTAGTTTGCTCTTCTATTATTTGGTATCAAATTGGTTAAATTGTTAGAGTGGTCACATTCGCGGTTTCTTCATTCGTTTTCTGAATACTCACAAGTTACTTTTGAAATGAAAGGAAATTATTCTCGCTTAAGCCGCGTTGACACGATCAAAGTGTACTTTGACAAAGTAGTTTTGATGACTACTTTGAAGCAACTTTGATCATATAAACAAGCAATCAAAGCGCACTTTCATGTCAATCAAAGTGGACTTGGACGGTGTTCTACTTTTCTCAAAGCCTGCTTTGACAAATTACTTTTGATGACTACTTCAATCGTGTAAACGATCAATCAAAGCGCACTTTAACGTCAGCGATCAATCAAAGTGGACTTTATCAAAGAGAACTTCGTTTCAAAGCTTTTTGTCAAAGCAGACATTGAACATGTCAACAGGTATCCAAGTAAACTTCGATCTAAGCTACTTTGTCAAAGCAGACTTTGAGCGTGTCAACGCGGCCTTCGAGTATATTGTTTGAGAAATTATACGTCATATAGAACTTTATAAGAAATGAACATGTTCGGGTACTTGAATTTGTGAAAATGAATCCCGAACTCGAATCAATGAACCGTGCGTGTACAGTCAGCCTTATATTTCAATCATTTACCTCGTAGTGTAACCATTCTAGTACAATGTTTTCAAATATATGATTTGTACAACTATAATAATGTTTATATATCATCTTGAATGATTTTTATTTATGAAGTGTAGTTTGATGACGATAGATGAGTTCTATCTCTGTATATTTTTTTAATTAACCCTAGATTGTCGTTTTTAAGATTTAAATATATTGAGATTTTATCTATTGAATAGAAACTTGAGTTTTCTTGTTCTTATGGAATATGATGTAATCGTTAATCCGGCTTATACTTTTCACGACACTTATCGATACTTCTCTTTTTACGATATAGTAATTTGTGAATGCAATTTATATTTATAATCAAAAAGTTTGAGGATAGCTGTTGTAGAACGGAATGTTTTGTACTTTATGATAAAATTGATTAGTTTTAGAGTCAGGATAATAGTTTGTAGAAAGAGGTGAGAATATTAATAATAACAACGTTTTACCTTTACACGTATGTGGTTAGTTAGGGCGAACTTAAAATCGAGGTCCAATTCGAATGTTTTAAAGTTAGATATAGTTCCAGGTGAAAGCAGATAATTTGCCTGCCAATATAATTTTATTTGTAATTTAAAATCATGTTAACTTTAAGATAGACATTTTCTTTTCAGGAATCGTATTCGCTAGTATTGTTAAGAAAAAGTGTTAAGAACTTACTTAATAAAATCATAATAGAATGTGTGTTTTTCCTTCCCCTATTTTTTCTATTAAAATATTATTGTTGCTTACTTAATTTTAATATAGTTTGAAAGCAAAGCTTCCTCTAGATCCACGCCAAATTCCCGTCTCAGATACTAAAATTCCTGAAAGCTGAAATTTGGTCCACCGAGAACCTTCATCCTACAACTGGATCATCCAAACTCCCGGTAAGATTTTTCTTTCCCTACATTTTAATTTGTTTCCTAGTTTGTCCACTCATTAATTGAAAATGTGTCCTTCTTCCAGTTCCAATAATGTTCTCATTACATCTTTTTCATTCATATTGCAGTTATAGTCGACGGCGACAAAGAATACGATTTCTGTAGTAGCAACAGTCTGATTATATATAAATTTGTAACGGAATAAATACAAAATATCAGAGCAACGAGCAATGAATGTTGAAGAATGACTTCGGGATTTATTTGATAAATAATCACTGTCCTATCCCTTCATAGATTAACTACAATAAGTTATTAGTGTGCCTGAAACAATGTCTAAAAGCTAAATAAATGTTACCATCTTGCAGGATCACAATGGAGACTGCTGGCTTGCCGCTGCCGGGCTACCACTACATCGCGCCCAATCACATCGTGAAAGCGCCGATCCATTGAATGGGGCTCCGTGGCCAGAATTCCAATATTGCAACCAAGTTTTACAACACTGACCGCTATTTCATCCAACCGCAATACGGAAATCTGGCTCCGATGTACTTTTTCAAATAAAATTTTGACCAAACAATCGGTAAACAAGAGGGGAAGCAATTGGCAAATAGCTGAATGTATGTTTACATTTGTTACGAGTTTATAAGTATTTTAGATATTCTTATATTTATTCTCCGATCGAGCGCTCGGAGTACAACTGACACGTAAACTACTATGGATACATGTTGGCACTTTGATTGAGAATCGAAAGGACTGAAGTTTTGGTTATTTAGTCGGTTCGTGGACAGCGTAGCGAGAAATCGATTAGGGTTGTCTACAACTTCCCTCGCTCGCTGTTCACGAGTCATTTCTGGCGTCAGGCGAGACTAAGCTGATCGAATTTACTATGGACTTAAGCGGTCATATAATTCTACATGTTCGGTTGGATTTACTATTATTTATGGTCGGTGAATATCGCAAAGAAATGAATTATTCGAAATAATTTAATCGAGCGTCGGCGTACATTAGATGTAGATGCGTTACAATCGACCTCGGATTCGCTGACGTAGCTTAGTGTTAGATTAGCGAACAGAGTGAGAGGGTTAAAGACAATATTTGTAAATAACATAATCGTAATTACCTGGAAAATTAGGTGTTACAGTAAGAACTCTTACAATCTTGCGTTTAATGATGATTTTGTTCCAAAAATCGTATGAGATTTATTTGTAGAAGACAATTTTTGGGTATATATTTCTCACAATATTTTCGATATCGGTAGAGGTGAGTCATGACTATGCTACGTAAAGAAAAAAAGTGACACGATGTGAAAACCGGTAACGAATAGAGTTACCGGTTACTCTATAATGGAAAGATTTTAATATATTTTTAATTTAACAAACATGATCGTCTAGTTGTGATTATAATGTATGGTTAATATTAGCAGCAGCTACTAATAAAGTTTAAACCATAATCGAGGTATTTTTTCCGAAACCAAAGGATTATCTGGGAAACGTCATTTCCCACTTCTACGGACTATACTAAAAAGTATTTTGCTTCACGATTTTTAATATCTCATACTTGTACAAAATTGTCATTAACTGCCCGATTGTAAGTTTAACAAGTGACGTCGCGCGAACGCGACGTGGCTTTACGAAACCGATGGGATCAAATCCTTTAAGAAACTTACATTAACAGAGAAACGGCGGTGAACTGAAACATTCAGTATATTATATTTTAAAATATCGTCTATTATCACAAAAAAAAGACGTTAGTTGTAAAAATAGTGTTATTAAATGTGATAGTCTTCTAATTTATTTAACATTGAAGAATTCTTACGAACAGCTCGTGTACATCGGCAACAGCGTTTAAGTCGAATAATATTGGTCCAGGGATCAAAGCCAAAGATTGTTGAATTTGTTTAACATTATTGATGTTGTGGATTTATGCTAAATTATTCTGGAAATAGTTACAATTTAGTGATTTAAGAACAATTAATTTCGATTACTTTATCACCCTCTCCAGACTGCTCATGGTATTTAGTCTTAGATCGAGATTTTAGATAGTCTGTGGTAAGTGACATAAAATATAAAAATTAAAAAAAAAGTATAGGGTAATGTAGATTAAGGTAAGTATAGGACCAGTGTACTAAGATGCTTTCCAGTAAAGTATTTTTGATCTTTTAGAAAAACTAGTGCCACATTTTATTAAATATTTTGTGCCAAACTGCAACCATGCCAAGAATATTCAGGTTTATCTCTATAAGAAACCTTTCGTCATTTTATCGTCTTAACTAATTGAATATTTCACATATAAAATACATTCGGTTAAACCACGAGTAATATTTTTTTGCACCCTAGGATAAGAAACTCACAGTTAGGATGAATAGTCTCGGAACATATCCTGATACATATTGTGTACCCCTTATGTCTTCCCTTTCAGTATTTCATTATGACTTGAAATATTTGTGCCAAATATATAAAATAATTCGTCAGTTTTTATGTTTGTGACGTTCTATAATATACAAATAATAATGTCTATTAGTGCTAGTCAAATTGGTCTGATTATAAAAGACAAAATATTATTTAATAAATTCTAGTCAAAATTTGTTTTGATCGGTAATCTTTTTATTTTGAATAATTATTAATTATATTTTATTTATTCGTGAATGTCTAAATTCTTATTAAGGTATGTTTGCGTGCTCTCACTTAAAGTATTTTATCTTAGCAATAAAATGATAAACTCAATTATTTATAAAAGAAATATACAAGTAAGACAATGTATAGAGCTTTTAACTTTAAGTAACACGCAGGTAAAGTAGATTATAATCTATACAAATAACTGTGTAACGATAAGATTTGTTACTCGAGAGAGAGAGAGAGGAAATTCTATAGCTGTGATGAACGATTGAAAAAGCACTTTTGTGCATGCTACGTCAGTTTAAACTGAACACGTGTGGGCAGATAGGGATAGTTTGTTAGTACCTACGCTTTACTGAGTACCGCGCAGGTACTGTGCAGCGCCACAGGTCACGCCACCGAGTAAAGCGGCTATTTATTATTTACATTGCGACGGCAATTGTAACGCAGATACTTTCTGATAAAGAAGTATTTATTAGTCTATTGGTGTTGTTAAATTATACATTTAGTACAATGACATAATATATGTACTATTTTCACTTTAAATATGAATAATAATAATAATTTGCAATACAAATAAACATTCAATATTGTAATCGTATTAGCTTAGGTATTATTGTTACTGTTATTTTGATTTGCTCAATTATTTAAATGTTTATGTAAGCTAGATCTGAAATCAAGTTAATTTTGTTGGAATTTAATTGTAGTTTAAATATTAGAGACGAGGTAATGCGTCGAGTTGAAGTCTATTCAAACTTATTAGCAAAGAAGACGGGCTGGTACGCTGTCTGCAGACGCAAAGCGCTGTAAGCATCTAGCTTTACTACGCTTTTCAATTAATATTTTTTGCGAACTTTTATAGTACTTACAAATAAACTTACCCTGTTCAGAATATATAATATTTTCAAAAAAATCTGTTTTATTCACTGAAATTATGTTAAATTCGGTTGAAATATGCATATAAGAGTTAAAATTTGTGCCTTTTTCTTTTTTTATATTTGCTTTGTTTTAAAATGATTACTTAATTATTAGCCTTTTATAGACAGGGTCAGACTGCGCTATATAATAGTATAATTAAAATCAATTTTAGCAAATATTTACTAAATGTAATAGTAAATTTTTATTCGTGTTAGCACCTGAATTTTTTATTGTTATTGCACCTTTTTGGAAATCCCTCTATGAATTTTGTGACATTTAGGACAAGATAAAATTTCCTAATAAAAAAAAAATTGGAACGCGTTCATTCCGTGTAGACTGTGAACATTGGAAAGAGAAGTGTTGCTGTAAAAAAATAATGTGTGAACGTACCTTCAACAAAAATGACGGTTTAACTGGGTAAAATGGGTTGTGTAGAATGTTGTGTATATACATACAATATTCAACTCAAAATAAATATTCGCTTTTTCTTCTAACACACTTCAATTTGGAGTTACAAATCTCGATTTATAATATTGTAGAATACCAGGGTAAATAATAATTATAGTCAATATAAGTTTACTTCACTAACGAGTTTAAATCACTATACAAATACTTCTAAAGCTTATTCTGTTGTAAACTTTTGAAAATATTTAAGAAATGTAATTAAAGTTGTATCTCGTCTTCGTGAACTAAGAGTAAATACTTCAAATCATGTTATCGTTTGAATTTCAAGACATGGCTTGCACGCATTGCATGGCACGAGGTATACGAATGCTTGGCAACTCCAAGTAGGCTGTGCAAGTTTATTTTTTCATTTCATTTAGCAATAATGTTTGTACTTTCGACTGAATATAGTTAAGATCATCAAAACAATCTGTAAACAATATCAGTCTCCATTGCAATTTTATAAGCATTTAAATTGTTTTCTTTTTTTAAATTTTCGATGTAATAACTATGAAAAATTTCCTGAAAAAAACTATGAAAAGTTTCACAAAAATTTTATGAAATATTTGATCCTACCATCTGTCTCTTTTTTATAATATATTGTGGTGTTCAAGTTCTATACATATGTAAATCAATATTGATGTATTTATTAAATAGTACATTAATAAAAAGGAGTCGTACAAGTCTCTGTCTGTCGCAAGTAACGAGTATACGACAATCGTTTTAATTAAGAAAGCAATAATTTAATTGATATTATTTTGTAAACTTAACAAGACGATTTCATAAATTATAGGCAGCGTAATTTTTTTTAATGCTATCTATATCGTGGGAAAAACACTGAATTATTATAAATTATGAGGTCGTCTTTTGATATTTGACTTATACTTGTTACTTGATATATAAATATAATATTTGATGTACAATTTGGAAAGTAACTATACTTGAAAATAAATATTTTGAAGAAAAAAACCATTATTAGAGGAACGTATCTTGTCGGTACATTACTATGATAATGGAATAATCATATCTATGGAGGTTCGAAATCAGTCTTTTAAAGAATTATTCTCTTACAAAAGACAGAGTCTTCGTTGAAGTAGTTTAATTCATTATTTCTTATGTTTTTGCAAACTTTAGTGGTACTATAGATAGGTGACACGTAGATCAAACAGTTAGATTTTCACTTGTCATATCTTTTAAATATCAATGTAATTGTCAACATATCTAATCGTTTTGTGAATTGAATTGATTAATGTTAATATAAATGTTGTACGTACGGTTACAGTATACTGTCATTATGGTTAGTTTCGATATAATTAATGTTTGTTTTCATTATGTTTATTCAATAAAGTGTGTAAATAAAAGAAGTTTTCTTTCATTTCAAACACAGGTCACTAAATCTAAGGTTATCTAATACCTACCAGAGGTATAGGTATGTAGTTATAAGTATCAACCACAATATGTACATATATT